GTCCAAGATATTTCGTAATAAATCTATTAACTATTATTAGAAAAAAAATCAATCCTATTACGAAAAAAATAAAACAAATAAAAAATAAAAAATAAAAATACGACAAATAAGTTATTGAACCTCTTCAGATTTCCAAGACGGATTATAAACATTGATATGTTTTTTACTGTCTAGTTGCTCCTCATCCGATTCAAAATACTCTGGAGAGTAATATCGGTTGTCGCTTAAAACATTCAAAAGTTCTTTTTGATCATAATTCTCCAGTTTTTCGTCATTTTTGTCGAAAAGCGATTTTGCGCCTTTAACTCGCCATGCTTTTTTCTATATTTAAAGTTTTGACGAATGATGAGATTTTTTTTTTTTGAAATAATAAAGAAATTATTTACCTCATTTAACCGATTGTTTCGATGTAGACGACAATTATCTTTGTCTAAAGTGCCACGTTGTTTATATAACAAACGCACTCTGCGATGTTTATGTAAAACGGCAAGCCAAGACTTAACTTGCCTGTATCGTGGAGTATACCTAGGCTTCATCGCTTCAATTAATCAAGGTATAATCTGTCGAAGAATTTCATCATTCGACTCACTGCTAAACTTTTCATCGTATATTAATTCTAGTTCAATTAGAAAAGTTTTTAGAATCGTCTTCATCTCAGCCTAAATTGAACAAAATATCGGTTTAGCGAGCGTTAAAAGCATACATCGAAAGAGGATTTTTGAACGAACCCTAGCTTCTTCTTCATCTACTTCCATTTCATCTCCAAGAATCGCGCACTGTATTTTTTCCTTTCCTACGCTTTGTTGGTCGCTAATCCTCTTCAAATTCGATATCTTGAAGGTCAGATGAATGTCGGTAACGCAAGCTGTCATTTTCCTGACTAAGTATATTGTTATACGATTGTAATTGGCCAACGTCTAGCCGTAGGTCACACAACTCGCCATTTGCATTATCGAGTTGCCGATTTAATTCATCGATTCTTCCCCGTAAGTAGGCATTTTCTTCTCAAAGATCATACGTTTCTAAAAAACGTTAAAGTCGACCAGAACTCTAAAATGAATACAAAGTCAATTGTAGCTCACCATTTACATCTCTAGTCCAATTACTACTATAAGGTTCACATATAATTGGCGTTGATTCTCTCCTATATGGTTCGGCGGTGCGTACATTGCTCCTATACGGTTCAGTAGTGTGTGTAATGGGCGTTAATTCCCTATGTACATTGCTCCTATATGGTTCGGCTGTGCGTGTAATGGGCGTTAATTCCCCATGTATGGTTATATTACGAGTTGGTGGTACCATCCTGCTTTGTTGCGAATACAAGCTGGATGGTTCCACTAAGCGAAATGGCCCATTATCTTCCGAAGCTTCTGGTATCAACGTTTGTTTTTGAGTTTTGATAGAACCAGAATCGGAAGCTGCGGAATCCTGTTTCGATGCTTGTTTTTGAGTTTTGGTAGAACTGGAACTGGAAGCTGCGGAATCCTGTTTCGACGCTTGTTTTTGAGTTTTGTTAGAACTGGAACCGGAAGCTGCAGAATCCTGTTTTGACGCTTATTTTTGAGTTTTGGCAGAACCGGAACCGGAAGCTGCAGATTCTTGTTTCGACGCTTATTTTTGAGTTTTGGCAGAACTGGAACTGGAAGCTGCGGATTGTTGTTTCGATATCGACGTTTGTTTGGGAGAATCAGAACTTACAAATTCCTGTGAAGAAGTTTGTTTGTGAGACTCTTGACGACTTTTTTCAACACTTTTTTTTTCAGATCGTTTCATTCTTTATAGAGATTTTAATAAATAGAAGAATAGTAAAATTAGTAAATAAAGTAGAACTTTCTTTCAAAATGACGAAAAATATTGTTCGATTTATATAAAAGTTGATCAATATAAAAATGTATTGCAGATTTTATAAAAATTACGAGAATTGTTTATCGAAAAAATAAAATTATTTTTGCGAAAAAAATTCGATTGATGGAGCTTTATAAATTCAAAATAAGCTT